GAGGTCCCTTCCAACTCTATCTCTCAGATCCTAAGTGAGATTTGGGGCAAGTCCCTTGACCACCCTGAGCTTCATCTTCCTCTGTAGCAGAAGGGGATTAGACTAGTTGGACTCTGAGGGTGCTTTGAGCTGGAGATTTAAGCCTGTGATCCTTGGACCATTTGGTGGCTTGAGGTAAGGACTGGGTGAAGAGGGAATGGGTAAAGAACACACATAAGAGACTTGAAGGAAAGAGCTTGTTCAGCATGGAGGCCATGGTCTAATGTCAAGAATAGGGGGATATGGAGTTAGAGGAGCAGACTGGAGTCCTAGCTCTACTACGCTACAAGGACTACATCTAGAGTCTCCTCAATGTCTGATTTTTGTGTACTCCAAGGTTAATTTTTCTTTTACACTATGCTTGGGCTTCCCTGATTTGATACTGATAACATCTGGCCAAAATTAACTACTTAACAAATATCTTCATGGCTCATACCAGCCATTTTCTTGCACATATTTCCTCCAAGTTTTCTCCTTGTCAGTGGGCTACATTAACACCCTACCTGGTTCATGGCTTCTGGCTTGGTTGTTGCCCATTTCCTTGCACTCACCTGCTTGGTGATCCTCTGACATGGCTGCCTCTCTCTCATCCAAGTAGAAGGGCATGGTCATTGGTCTGAGAGACAGCCTTTGGGCTGACCCTCCACCACCTACCGCTTGTATTTATTGAGGGGGCTGAGTCACCTGAGGTCTCCATGCTCTAGGAAAGTTTTTGAGAGTACAAATTGCAGACAGACAAGGTTTCAGTGGAGAGATTTTCCTTCTCTGGGGGTCCTCCACAATCCTCAGGTGTCCTGTCCCTATCCCTGCAGCTGTCTGATGAAGATACTTTCTTCTCAGCCTCCAGAGGCTCCTGGCTAGATGCCTGGCCCCCCTTAGGCACTCTGGGTCCTGTGGGTGATGATCCTCTTGAATCAGAGAGCATCCTGGACCCTGGGAGAATTCCCAACCTTCTGCCTCAACTCTCCTTCTTCATTGGAGGGGAGAGCAGCCCAACAATGATTGCTGCTAGTTTTCTCCAACCCAGGCAGGGTCAGAGACAGACATGCTTGCATGCATGGGTGCCCCCGTGGCTCTCCCAGCCCATGGCCTGATTTTGTCTCCTCCTGCCTGGAGAAAGGAGGTTGAGACCCACATTTGTCCCAGACCATCCCTTTCCTCCTCTGCTCTACAGGTTGTCAGTAAGTTCCATCAAGGGGTTGGTGGTCTGCTGCTGCTGCTGCTGCAGCTACTGTTTTCCCTTATGTGGAGCCCAGGATGCCCTCCCCCCCCACCATCCCTGCCCCCCCTCTCAATTTTCCATAAAGGGGCTGACCCACCCCCCCACAACCCAAGCTGAGCTCAGCTGCCCCACCACATCCCTCCCAGTCCCAGCAACTGCCCTCAGGAACCTGGGACCTGGCTCAGCCCTGGGCCCTCCAAGCACTGTGGCCCCTCCCCTCCCCTCCCCAGGCTGGGCGATGGGAGTTGAGAGAAATGACTGGGAGGGGCCTCCCCACTCCTCTGTGGGTGCCATCATAACCCCCTCCCCTCTTTTCTCCCTCCTCCCTGTGCTCTGGATGGAGACTAGCCCTGCCCTACCATGATGTCACTGTACCCGCCCCTCTCACCCTTGACCAAGTCAATCTTCTTTGTCTCTGGAGGAGGAAGAGGAGGAGGAGAAAGAGGATGAGAAGGATGGTAAAGTGGAGGAGGAGGAGGAGTGAGTTTCCTTTTCCTCTAAGTCTGGAGGGAGGGCCATGAGCAGCCCAGCCCTAACCTGCTCCCCTCCTCCTCTGCCACAACACCCCTCCCTCACCCAGGGAACCCAGAAGTTCCTACACTTTCCTAAGTGGGTGTGTATAAGGTAAGCCCCCTTTTCTGCCCCTGCCCCTCCTGTCCCTCTACATCCCTCCCCTTATATTTTCTTCTGTTTCCTCTTTAGTCTTTGTTTCAACTTCCCCCCCATCCCAAATTGGCTTGTCTTAGTACCTGGGGCATGTGTGTGGGCTTGGGAATAAAACCTTTTTTATGTGTGTATTGTGTGTTTAGGACTATAGAATCACGTGTGTACATGTGTGTACCTGTGCGTGCCTGCTCCTCCAGAGCTGCTTCTGCCTGGCGCATCCTGCCTGCCCAGGTCTTTGTCTGAAGGTCTGGGCCTTGGAGGGCCATGGGATGGGGTGGGGTGGAAGCATCAGGGAGAAGACTTTGAGGGCACTCCCTCCCTGCCCTCCTCAGGTGGACTTTCCCAACCTTTCTTCCTTCCTCGCATCCTTGGCTTGGCCTGGGGACTGGGGAGAGAGGAGAAAGTCTAAGAAGGATCCTCCTGCTTGCCTTCCTCATCCTCAGAGAGAGGAGGGTGAATCTTTCCCAGGGATGGCTGGATAAATCTTTTCTGGGAGAAGTGACTTGGTCCTACATGCAGGCAAATCCTTGATGTACTCTTTAATGGAGCAGTACAATTCTGATTATCATTCTGGAGGGCACAAATCTTCTCTTCCGCCCTTTCCCCATTCTTTTTAATTCCATTTAAAGTTTCCTTAAAGAAGTCCAAGTTACAAGAGACTTCTGTCTGCTGGTTTTGAGTAGCCATTTAGTAAACGTATCCCACTCAGGATATTTAATTTTCTTGCCAACTTCATCACAACATTTCTTAAGGTGATTTATTTTATCGAGATCAAAAGAACTTCAAGTTGGTTAATGGTGACAGGGTTGTCTTGGGTCAATTTCTGCCAATTAGTTAAATACCTACAGGTTTGGGCCCATAATATAGAGATAAACAACCAGCTGGTCTCCCCTTATGTGTGGGGGGGTAGAGTGAGGTGCCTTCAGTGTCTTAGGAAGTTTGGTTGCCCATGGGAACTTGACCAAGGTCTTACTTTATTCAGAATTTTTTTTTTTTTGCAAAGTAATGTGGACTACCTGAATTAAAAACTGGGGCTTTTGAAAATCAGTTCCTGACTAAACGGTACAACCTGGGATGTGTGGGTCCCAAGCTGCAGGTTGTCACTGTTCTCTGCTGGCTTCCCCTCCAGTGGGGTGCCAGCCCTGTGGTGCCCAAGGCTGGGTCTCCCCCTGTGGCCAGATTCCTCTGAGACAGTCTAGGAATCTTCCCTTCCCCTTTTCCGTATCATCTCTTTTGTCTGATGTTGTTTAATTTAATGGTATATTTATTTTTTGTTCTGGTTTCAAGCAGCACCTGGTGAAAGGGGCATTTCCATGTACCTTGTTGTGGAACAGAAAGAGGAGACTTTCTCTGATACTTTTTAACATTCACTTCTCTCATTATGAGGGATTTGGAACATTTTGTCATAAAGCTGTTCATAGTTTGGATTTCTTCCTTTGAAACCTCCTCTTCCTTTGACCTATTGGAGCATGGCTCTTAATCTTAGAAATTGGAATCAGTTCCTTTTAAATCTTGCATATGCAACAGTCCTTATAGAACTTTGCTGCAAAGATGTTTTTCCTCATTTAAATATTACTGTTCCCATTTTCACAGCATTTGATCTTTGTGCAAAAACATTTCGACTTTATAGAAGTAGAATTCTTCTATTTTATTTTCTGTGATTCTCTGTTGCTTCTTCTGTCATAACCTCTTCTCCTATCCATAGATATGAAAAGTAATTTCCTCCTGTTCCTCTAATTTGCTGCCGACTCCCCTCTTATGTCTAATTCATGCATCCATTTGTAGTTTAATTTGAAAAGTGCTATGAGGTGTTGATGTCCTGTTGCATTTCTGGCAAACTGCTTTTCCCTTATCCCATCTGTTTTTGTTTTTTTTTTTATCAAATAGTCTCCCTTCTCCCCACCCACCCAATTGCTATCTTTGAATTTTTTAAACTCTAATTTATTTTATTTGTTTGCTTCTGTACATTGCATAACTAATCTTTCCACTGATCAACCTCCCACATTTTAACAAGTTCCATTGTCTTCCAGGCAGCTGGGTGTCCCAATGGGCCTGAAGTCAGGAAGAATCATCTCCTTGAGTTCAAACCTGGCCTCCGACACTTACCAGCTGTGTGATCTTCAGCAAGTCACTTCACTCTCTTTGCCTCAGTTCCTCACCTGTCAAATGAACTTCAGAAGGAAATGGCAGACCATTCCAGTACCTTTGCCAAGAAAACCCCAAATGTGGGCAGGAAGAGTCAGACGGGACTAAACAAGAACAACAATTGTTTTCAGAATCCCTGATTTGTAGTATAGATTGGATCTGCTACTGATAATCACTAACCCAAAGCCCTTTTTCTTCCTTCCCCACCTCCATTATTACCCCTGAGATACTTGACCTCCTTTTAAACTTTTTCATTGTTTTCTGTTTCTTACATCACCAGGGTATCCCATGTATCCCTCCCTCTCCCCATCCTCAAGAGCCATGTCATGTGATAAAGAGTATTTTTTTTCTTTTAGGGAGGAAAAGAAAAATGAGCACAACTGATTGGTGCAGGTGGAAAAGGTGTGCAATGTATAACACCTGTGGACCTCTTAAGTCCTGGCTGAGGTAGGGTGATGGTGTTTTCTCATGTTTCCTTTTCATTCTCACTTGATCTTTAACATTTCAGTTAATTTTTTGTGTCTCATTCTTTCCATGTCAGTTGTTGTAGTTACTGTGTGTATGTACTATTTTGTTTTTTCTTTTTTTTACTCTGCTTAATTCACTTTGCATCAGTTCACAAAGATCTTTCTGTAGTTCTCTGTACTCATCGCACACATCATTTCTTGCAGCCTGGTAGTAGTATTCCATGATGTTCACCATGTTTCACACTTTGTTTAGCAGTTCCCCAGGTGATAAGCATCTACCCACATGTGGCACAGTAGGGGCAGACCTGCTGCCTCCCTTGGTGACCCCTGTCCCTCCCTGCCTGTCCTGATCTTTGTCTCCTCCTGCCTAGAGAAAGGAGGCTGAGCCCTGCCCCTTCCTCACACCAGCCCTTTCTTCCTCTGCTCTGGAGGTTGTGAGGAATCCAAGTCCCATTCAAGGGCTACTGGTTTGCGGATGCTGCTGCAGCTACTGTGCTCCTCCCTTTTGTGGAGCCCAGGACAGCCCTCCCTCACCCTTCCCCTTACTCTCTTTGTCTTCCCCCTCCCAGTTTCTGTAAAGGGGCCTACCCTCAACAACCCCAAGCTGAGCTCAGCTGCTGCCCCCCACCCCTCCCAGCCCCAGCAGCCTGCCCTCAGGAACCTGGGACCCTGGCCAGCCCCAGGACCACTTCCAGGTCGAGGATGCAGCTGCAACCCCTTTTGTAGCCAATTTGGGTGATGGGGACAGAGAGAAATGACTAGGCTGGGGAGCGGCTCCCCAGTGCTCTGGGCCTGATGTTAGAGACCTCCTCCCCTCCCCCTGCTCTTCTAGGACACTAGTCCTACCTTGCAGTGATTCAATGCCACCCCCTCTGACCCTCTATTAAGTGTAAGTCTTCTTTGACTCTGGAGGAGGCTGTGAGTGGGCAAGCAGTTTGAGATCTGCATATCCCCCCTCACCCACTTCTCCTCCCCTTCCACTCCACACCCACCCTCCCCTCCACTACCCCCATCTTCCCTCCATCTTCCAGATTGACCTATCCTGAGGTCCTGCTAGTGCCTATGTGGTTGTGAGTGAAGTAAGTGCCCCCTTCCTGCTCCTGCCTCAGCCCCTCACTTTCTTCTTCTCTTCTCTTCCCTTCCCCCTAGCCTTTTCATGAAGCTGACCCTCTACCATCCCAATTAGTGCCCAGAAGATGTATGTAAGTGTGGGTATATCAGTACTTTTGTTTATGCCTGTGTTGTGTCTGTTGATAGGAACATGTGTGTGTGTGTATGTAAGAGACAGAGACAGTCCGTGTGTGTGTGTGTGTGGATGTATGTATGTATGGCTATGTTCAGAGTGATCCTGTGTGTGCCTTCTCCTCCAGGGATGCTCCTGCCTAGGGCTTCCTGCCTGCCCATGCCTTAGTCTGGAGGTCTGGGGCTTGGGGGAATCATGAGATTGGGTGGGATACAGTGGAGTTGAAATTGTTTTCTGGGCAGCTAGGTATTCTATGGGGCCTGAAGTCAGGCAGAATCATCTTCTTGAGTTCAAATCTGGCCTCAGACATTTAGTAGCTATGTGACTCTGGGCAAGTCGCTTTACCCTGTTTCCCTCAGTTCCTCATCTGTCAAATGAGCTTTAGAAGGAAATGGCAAACTACTCCAGTATCTCTGCCAAGAAAACCCCAAATGTGGGCAGGAAAAGTCAGACAGGACTAAACAATAACAAGAATTGTTTGCGTAATCACAGATTTGTAACATCTTTGGATCTGCTACTGATAATCACTAACCCAAACCCCTTCCTTTCCTCCTTCCCCAACTCCATTATCACCCTTGAGTTACTTGACTCCTGTTTTATTGGTGTTTTCTGTTTCTGCCATCACCAGGGTATCCCATGTATCTCTCCCTCCCCTCATCCTCAAGAGCCATGCCATGTGACCAATCATATTTCTTGTTTTAGGAAGGAAAAGAAAAGTGAGCACAACTGATCAATGCATTTGGGCAAACGTGTGCAATGTGTAACACCTGAGGACCTCTCACTTCCTGAATGGGGTAGGGTGATGGTGTCTTCTCACGTTTCCTTTTCATTCCCACTTGATCTTTAACATCTTGTTACAGGTACTTTTAAGCTTTTGCTGAGTCATTCTTTCCATTTCAATTGTCGTTATTGTGTATATGCACTGTTTTCTTGGCTCTGTTTAATTCACTTTGCATCAGTTCACAAAGCCCTTTCCATACTTCTCTGTACTTCTCACACACTTCGTTTCTTATTTACAGTAAGTACGTAGCAGTATTCCATGCCTTTCCTGTTCCATGTCTTGTTGATGAGCATCTACTGTTTCCAAATCATAGATGCCACAAAAAGTGGTGTCATAAGTATTTTGGAATATATATGGACTTTTCGTTATCAGTGGCATCATTGGGTTGTAATGGAATCTTTGTTTTGTAGGCTTTGGGCATTTTTCTTTCCTTCTTTGCGTAATTTTAAATTACTTTCCAAAATGGATGTGTCATTTCACAGCTCCTCCAATAAGTATTAGTATGTGTAAATCCCTACACCCTTGTTTCGGTATTGAAAACATGTTTGTGCCATGAAAGGAATTTGATAGTACTTCTTCTTTACCTGTTGTTTCAGTTAGTTTATGTAGTAGTGGGATGAAATGTTTTTAAATGTTCGGTAGAATTCACTTTCACAGTTGATCTAGTCCTGGGAATTTTTTCCTAGGAAATGCATTTATGCCTTGTTCAATATTTTTTTCTTTTAAGATATTGTTATTTATGTATTCTGTTTCCTCTTCTTTTAACATGGGCAGTGTATGTTTTTGTAAGTATTCATCCATTTCATGTAGATTGTCAGTTTTGCTGGCATGGGATTGGGAAAATAACTCCTAAGTGTTGCTTTAATTTCCTCTTCCTTGGTTACGCTTACACTTTTGGTTTTGAGACTGGCAATTTGGTTTTCTTCTTTCTTTTTGTTAATCAAGTTACGCAAAGGTTTACCTGTTTTTATTAGTATTTGCATAAAAGCAGCACGTGCTTTTATTTTATAATTTTACTTTTTAAACATTTTCTTCATCTCACCTTTGATTTCCAATTTGATGTTTAATTGGAGATTTTGTCATTTGTTCTTTTTCTACTTTTATACATTTTATGCCCAGTTCCTTGATCTGCTCTTTCTCTGTTTTATGGATGTAAGAATTTAGAGATCGAAATTTCCCCTAAGTACTGCTTTGGGAGCATCCCACAAATTTTGATATGTTGCCTCATTGTTGTAATTCTCTTTAATGAAATTATTGGTTGATGCTATGTTTTATTCTTTGATCCACTCATTCTTTAGGATTGGGTATTTTATTTTCCAATTAATTTTTAATCTCTGTTTCTGCATCTCTGTAATGATATTGCATTGTGGTCTATAAAAGGTGCATTTCCTGTTTCTGTTTTTCTCCATTTGGTGATGAGGTTTTTATGCCCTAATATGTGTTTATTTTTTCTGAAGTTATCATGTACAGCTGAGAAAAAAGTTATATTCTTTTTTATTTCCATTCACTTTTCTCCAGATTTCTATCCTATCTGACTTTTCTGATATTCTTTTCCTCTTTTTAACATCTTTTTTTGTTGTTTTATGCATAGATTTGCTTGATTCTGAGAGGTGAAAGTTGTGGTCACCCATTGGTATAGTTTTACTGTCTATGTCCTTCTGCATGTCCTTTAACATTCCCTTTAAGAAGTTGGATACTCTGCCATTTGGTGCATCTTTGGTTAGTATTGATATTATATTATTGTCTATGGTACCTTTTAGCAAGATGTAGTTTCTCTCCATATCCCTTTGAATTAGGACTATTTCAGCTTTTGGTTTGTCTGAGATCATGAGTTGGCGTGTTAATTAGTTCTAAGGTTACTTCAAGGTAAGCAACGGTAGGTACTGTATGCTATTGTGGTCATTTATTAGTTAGGGACTGGAGGCTGATTGGTCAGTTAGGGGCTCTGGATACAAGGTGTTGTCAAGGGCATTCCTCATCGGGACTGTGTCCTTAATAGTGTCTGCATCTCCAGAACCTAGCAGTGTACCTGTTATGCAGGAGGTACTTAAGAAATGCTTGTTAGTTGCTTAATTAGGCCACCTGTCTTTCTCTGTGCCCAGCACATAGGAGGAGCTTCATCTATAGCTATAGAATGAATAAATTGAGTTACAGGTCTAAGCTAGAGTAAATATGAATGATCATAATTCCATCTCTTATAGATTTCTCTCATTTGTAATTTTCATTACTTACCACTTTATTTTTTTAATTATCATACGTAATTCATGTATTCCCTTATAGTTTAATTTGATCTGTTGTGTGAGGTGTTGATCTCTTATCAAATTCCTGCCAAACAGCTTTCCACTTATGCCATCTGTTTTTTTTTTTTTTTTTCCCACCAACTACAGACAGTTCTTATTTTGGGCAAGTGGACTCTTGGGCAAACCTCCAAGTAAAAAGATCTTGAAGTAATGTGAATTTGCCCACACATCCGGCTACAAGAGAGGGAGGGAGGCAGGAAGGGGGTCACATGCCTGTGAAGGGAGGGGGCCAGGAGATGGTTCAAGGACACATGGGAGGCCTGGGACAGAGAAGCAAGAGCAGGAAGAGGATCTGGCCAGTGTCGGGACCAGTCACATGATGGCCTGGCCAGAACTGAGAGGAAGAACAAGCAGGTGACAGACGTGTGGAAGCTGGACATGGCCACATGAAGAAGAAGACAGGCAACACATGGACCGAGAAAAGACACACAGTACCCAATTGTGGGTGGACAGAAGACAGACACAGATACCAGACGGGCAGATAAACAGGCAGAGCAGCCAAAATCTCCTCTCTCAGCATTGGAGATCTCAAGCCAATCCCTGATCCTGAGGCTGCAGAGGTGGAAGGAATCACTCTGCATGTCCAGAACCCCTTTCTTTGCTCCTTCCCACCTCTCCATGAATACTCTGTAGGTTTGTGACCTCATTTAAAATTTTTTACCAATGTTTGCTGTATCTTACTTCATGATATCCCATGTATCGCCCCCTCTCCTTCTTCTCCTCTCTGAGAGCCATGCCATGTGACAAATGGTATTTTTTGTTTTAGGAAGGAAAAGCAGTCAACACCACTAAAACAGTACACAGAGGAAAAGATACTTCTGGCAGGAGATAGTCTCTCTGGGAACATTCTACTTACTGCAGGATCACTCTCTGGCAAAAAACATCTAGTCTCTGAACACTTGGAGGAAAAAACACTTGTGACAGGAGAGACACTCTCTCTGGGAACATTCCAGTGTAAGAAAGAAACTGGGTAGCCTTTCTGTGTAAAGAAAGCAACCTTTGAGAGAAGCATTGGTGGGTTCTATAGGCCGCCCAGTGTGGTCTGAGACCCCACCTTTGTTTCCCATAATCAAGGTTGGTTTCTTTGCCCAGAGAGGCTTTCCAGTCTCTTTCTTACACGAGATAGTACAGGCTTGTGTTTTGTGGAAACGCATCTACTCTCTGAACACTCAGAGGAAAAGATATTTGTGGCAGGAGACACTCTCTGGGAACATTCCAGTTACTACAAGCTTACTCTCTGTGGAAGCACACCTAGCCTCAGAACACTCAGCAGACGAGATATTTGGGGTTGAAGACACACACTCTGAGAACATTCCACTGAGCACAGGCTTGCTCTCTACAGAAACACATGGAGGGAAAAATGGATATTTGATGAAATAGAGACCTTTGAAGCATTCCTGATGAAAAGACCACAGCTGAAGAGAAAATGTGGCTTTCAAGTACAAGACAAACATTAAAAGGTAAATATGAAAGAAAAATCATAAATGACTCAATAAGGTTAAACTGTCTCCTTTTCTATAAGGGAAGAGGATACACATATCTTTAAGAATTTTGTCATAATTAGAACAAGTAGAGGGATTTTACATAAAAAGAAGGTTTTACATAGGAAGCCAGTTAGGTTGGGATGATGTAAAATAAAGGGATAGGTGAGAAATGTGGATGCCCTGGGAGAAGGCAGAAGGGAGAGAGAGAATGGGGGAAATGATCTCATATAAAATAGGTGTGCAAGGAAGAGCTTTTACCCTGGAGTGGAAAAAGGTCACAGGGGAGAGTGGCCAATGCTTGAACTTCAGTCACATCTAAATTGGTTCACAAAAGGGAAAATATCTATATCTATTTTATATCTGTATCTATATATACTTACTCAGTTGGTCATAAGAATCCATCTTACTCTAGAGGTAAGTAAGAGAATGGGAAAAGAGAAAGAAAAACTGGTGATAAAAGGGCAGGCTGATAAAAGGATACAGTGGTCATATGCAAAACTGAAATGAGAGGAGAGACAGGATAAAAAGAGAGAGAGAAGGAGAAACAGAAGAAAATAGGAGGTAGGGAAATGTATAGTTCCTCATCCTAACTGTGTGAATGGGATGAACTCACACATAAAATGGAAGGGGATAGCAAAATGGATTAGAAAGCAGTCTCCAAAAATATGTTTGTTTGTTTGTTTGTTTGTTTTACAAGAAACACGCTTGAAACAAAGAGAGAACCACAGAGTTAAAATAGGGTGCTGGAGCAGAAACTGTTATACCTCTGCTAAATTAAAAAATGGAGGGGTAGCAGTCATGATCCTGAGATCAAAGCAAAAGCACAAATAGCCCTATTGAAAGGGGTAAGCAGGGAAACGACCTCTTGTTCAAAGGAACAACAACAAAGTAATATCCATAGTAAACATATTTGGGAAATGGCATAGGATTCAAATTCTTAAAGGAAAAATTAAACAAGTTACAAGAACAAATAGGAAAATTATAGTAGTGGGTTACCTCAACTTTTCACTCTGAGAGCTAGATAAACCTAAGCATAAAATGAATAAGAAAGAAGAAGAGTAATAGAATTTTAGAAAACTTAGATATAAAAGACTTCTGGAGAAAACTGAATGAGGATAGAAAGGAGTACAGACAGATGGTGCTTTATGAAAATTCACATTATACAAATTGGACTTTATGGAAGGAATTCTATAAGAAATCTGCATTCCAAGAAAACACCTACGCTTTACCATACTGTACTGGGATCTCTTTCTCCTCCTGTCCCTCAACTTGGCGCTCTGTGGCCTCCTACCACCACTGAACCCTCCACCCCAAAGAAAAAGCTAAAAAAAGTCCTCCAAGTGAAAGCAGAAGAACAGACCTGCAGAGAGATAGCCACCACCGCTGCTGAATGGGGACTTGGCTTGAGACCTCGAGGTCAGTGCTGAGAGAGGAGACCTGGGTTTCAGTCTGCCCACCTGCCCCAGAGTTTGGTCCCTGCATTTTGGTATTTTGTCCATCCATGTGGGTGTACAGTGTGTTTGTCCCTGGTCCCCACCACATGTGGCCTGTCATTTCCTGAGTGTTTCCATGTCCGGGCCCTCATGTGTCTGCCTGCCAGCGTGTTCTTCCTTTCAGTTACAGCCAGACCCTCATATGGCTGGCCCCACAAGCCATGTGTTCCTTCTCCTGCTCTTGCTTCTTAGTGCTCAGGCTCCACGTGTCCTGGAACCATGTGCCAACCCCTCCTCCACAGGGGTGCAGTTCTCTTCCTGCTTCCCTCCTGCCCTTTTCCACTTCTGTGGGTAAATTCACATGATGTAAAGGGTCTGCAGGATGGTCCACTTAAGTTGTTGTTGTTAATATTTATTTAGTATTTTATTTTTCCCCAATTATGTGTAAAAACAATTTTTCACATTCATTTTAAGAATTTTGAGTTCTAAATTCTCTCCCTTACTCTTCCTCAATCTCCACTCTGCCCACTCCCCACCCCCCCACATTGAGCAGGCAAGCTATTTGATATATATTATACATATTTAGTCATATAAAACATATTTCTATATTAGTTGTGTTATAAAAGAAAAAAATAGACCAAAAAAACTGTCAAGAAATATAAAGTTAAAAAAAGTATGCTTTGATCTGTATTCAGAGACCACCAGTCTTTTCTGTGGGGATGGATAGCATTTTTCATCATAAGTCATTCTTAGCTGATCATCTTATAATAGAGCTGTTACTGTATATACCATGTTCTCCTGGAACTACTCATTTCACTTTCCTTTAGTTCCTTTAAATCTTTCTAGAATTTTCTGAGACCACCCTGATCAGCATTTCTTATAGCATTCCATCACATTTATATACCACAACTTAATCAGCTATTCCCAATTGATGCTTATCCCTTCAATTTCCAGGTTTTTGCCATGAGAAAAGAGCTGCCATACATGTTTTTGTATGTATAGGTCCATTTACTTTTTTTAAATGTCTTTTGGAATAAAGATCTAGCAGTGGTATTGCTAGGTCAAAAGGTATGCATGGTTTTATAGCCCTTTGGGCAAAGTTCCAAATTGCTTTACAGAATGGTTGAATCTGTTCACAGCTCCACCAACAATGTCTCAAATTTCCCACATCCCCTCCAGAATTTGTCATTTTCTATCCTATTAGCCAATCTAATATGTGTGAGGTAGTACCTCCCAATTTTTTCATTTCCATGTCTCCAATCAATAATGATTTACAACATTTTTTCATATGGTTATAGATAGCTTTGATTACTTCATCTGGAAACTGACTGGTCATATCTTTTGATCATTTATCTGGTGGGGAATGGCTCTTATTTTTATAAATTTGACTGACTTCTCTATATAATTGAGAAACAAGGCCTTTATCAGTAGAACTTGGCTTCAAGAATTTTTTTTTTTACCACTTATGTTTGCTAACTGTATTTCTCTCCATCCTATTTCCCACTTCTTTATTCTATTCTCTTTCTCCTTTCACTGTGTCCCTCCTTAAGTGTTTTGCTTCTGACTGCCACCTCCTCCAATCTGTCCTTGCTTCTATCATCACCTCCCTTCTCTTCTGCCCTTCCCCTCCTACTTTTCTCTTTCATAAAATAGATTTCTGTATCCTGTGTGTGTGTGTGTGTGTGATTCCCTCTGAGGAATTTCTGATAAGACTAAGGTACAAGTGTTCCCCCCCCACCTCTCCTCTTTTCCCCTTCACTGTAAAAGCTCTTCCTTGCCTATTTTATGTCAGATAATTCCCCTATTCTATCTCTTCTGTTCCCTTTCTCCCAGTGCACACCTCCTCCTCACACCTTAATTTTATTTTTGAGACATCATCCCTTCGTATTCAACTCACACCTCTGCCTTTGGTCTATATATACTGCTTCTAACTGCCCTAATGATGAGAAATTTCTTATGAGTTACAAGTGTCATCTTCCAATGCAGGAAGGTAGCCTATTTAACCTTATTAAGTCCCTTATGATTTCCCTTTCCTGTTTACCTATTTATGCTTCTCTCTAGTATTGTATTTGAAAGTTAAGTTTTCTATTCAGCTCTAGTCTTTTTTTAAATCAAATTTTTTTTGATAATCTAATATTGAAAAATAATACAGTCCCTAAGATTTGTTTAGCTACCTTTGACAGTTTAATAAATTTCAAAGAGTAAAATAGAATAACTTTATTTCCTTTTTTATTTAGCATTTTCTTTTTTCCTAGTTACATAGAAAAACAATTCTTAACATTCCTTTTTGAGACTTCTAGTTCCAAATTCTCTCCCTTCCACCCTCCCCACACCCCCTCATTGAGAAGGCAAGCAAATTTGATATAGGCTATACATGTGGAGTCATGCAAAACATATCCATAATAGTCATGTTGTGAAAGAAAACATAGACCAAAAAAACCTCAAGAAAAATAAAGAAAGTAAAAGAAGTATGCTTCAATCTGTATTTAGACACCATCGGTTCTTTCTCTGGGAATGGATAGCATTTTTCAGCATAAGTCTTTCAGGGTTGTCTTGGATCGTTGTATTGTTGAGCATACCTAAGTCGTTCACAGCTGATCATCTTACACTATTGCTGTTACTTTGTGCACAGTCCATTTCACTTTGCATCAGCTCATGTAAGTATTTCCAGGCTTTTCTGAAAGGATCCTGCTCATCATTTTTTGTTTCTTGCCAAGGCAATTGGGGTTAAGTGACTTGCCCAGGGTCACACAGCTAGTAAGTGTCAAGTGTCTGAGGGCAGATTTGAATTCAGGTCCTCCTGAGTCCAAGGCTGGAGTTCTATCCATTGTGCCACCTAGCTGCCCCTATCATTTCTTATACTACGATAGTATTCCATCCTAATCACATATCACAACTTGTTCAGCCATTCCCCAATTGATGGGCATCTCCTCAATTTCTAATTTTTGCCCACAGAAAAGTGCTGCCATACATATATACACATGCACACCTATATATACATGCACACACGTATATACACATACACATACATAAACACACACATATATATGCATATACATATACACACATATACATATACATATATATATGTTTGTACATATAGGTCCTTTTCCTTTTTGTTTTTTATCTCTTTTGGGATTCATACCTAGTAGTGCTATTGCTAGGTCAAATGGTATGGTACTGTTATGTATCCCTTTGGGCATAGTTCAAAATTGCTTTACAGAATGTTTGAATCTGTTCACAACTCCACCAACAGTGCATTAATGTCTCATTTTCCCCACATTCCCTCCAATATCTGTCCTGTTCCTTTTCTGTCCTCTTAGACAATCTAATAGGTATGAGGTAGTACTTCAGAATTGTTTTAATTTGCATTTCTCTAATCAGTAGTGAATTAAAGTAGTAATTTTAATTAAAATTAATTAATTTTAATTAAATTTAATACATCAGGGTGTTGTCAGTGCCAGAGGAGAGAACTGGGCATTCAGAAGATGTTAGGAAGGGGAAATGGACAGATCTTGGCCACAGATTGGATATGACAAGGTGAGAGAGTGTCAGACATTTGGGATGACCCCTAGCTTGCAAGTCTGGGTGATCTGAGTGATTTTGACAATACTGGGCTGCTCTTAACAGTTATAGGTTAAGTAGGAAGGAGGTATATTTTTTTTTTGAGGGGGGAGGTAAGATAGTGAGTTCAGTGTTGGACATGCTGAGTTCAAGATATCTACAGAATATCCAATTGAAGATGTCCAGTAGACAGTTGGAGATGTGAGGCCGGCTGTATGAAGAGAGGTTAGGACCGGATAATTGAATTGTTGAATCATCAAGCTACCCAAACTCCAACCCTTCTGTGGTGCAAGTCTTGCACCTGCCCCTAGTATGTGGTAATAGCATAAAGTAGGAACTTCTTTTCTTCCATGGCAGTTTTCAAGGTTTCACCTACTCCTCCTCATAGACATTCTCCTTCATTGTTGTTGTTCAGTCATTCAATGTTGTCTGACTCTTTTTGACCCCTTGGACCACAACACGCTAGGCCCTTCTTTCTTCCACTATCTCTTGAAATCTGTCCTAGTTCATATTCATTGTTTGTATGACACTATTTATCCATATTATCCTCTACCATTTCCTTTATCTTTTGCCTTCTGTCTTTCCTATTATTAGGGTCTTTTCCAATGCGTCCCATTTTCTCATGATGTGGCCACAGTCTTTAAGCTTCAGCTTCAGCATTTGACCTTCCAGTGAATGGACTGAATTAATTTCTGTAAGTATTTACTGATTTGATTGTTTGATTTACAAAAAGGAAAAGGTAGGTGACATTGTGGTTGAACAGACAGAATGACCAACTTGGAGAATGAAGAAACATGGGTTCACAGCCCATCTCTGATACCTAAGTTCTCTGAGTCTCAGGTTTCTCTTCTGTAAAACAGGGATAATAATACATCCTTGCAGGGGGGAGTTGTGAAAAACAAGTGAGGTCATGCCTGCACAGACGATGAAGCTACTCTTCTCTTTCCCCACTCCCATTAGTATACTAATTTCCCAGATGTCAACTTCTCCATCTCTGCTCTGGCTTCTAGAGGTGGTAGTGAGGGTTTGGGCAGGGGGTTTAAACCCATGAAGATGAGTCTTCCTGATTCTAAGACTAGTGTTCTATTCACTGAGCCACTTAGCTGCCCTGTTGCTATGGGTAAAGTGCCCTAAAGGTCAGAGGTTATTTTGGCAATGTGAATAATTCAGTCATGTTATGTGGGGCTAGGGACAGCCTTATTAGGGGCAGCATATATACTGTAATGAATATAAGGCAAAGTGCCACTGAGAAAAAGGTATATTTCCTTTCTATTCTCATTCAATTTTCTCCAGAGTTCTCCCATATCTAACTTTTCTAAAATTTTGTTCACTTCTTTCTTGTTTAGTTTTTGGTTAGATTTATCTAGTTCTAAGAACAAAACATTGAGGTTCTCCACCAAAAAAAAGAAAAAGAAAATTGTTTGCACTGAAATTCTCTTCTCCAAACCAAAATGAAGATGTTTCTGATTTCCATCCCACAAATTTTTAAATTCATACCTTTATTTCCCAAACTTTTTATCTTTGCCTAATCATTCCCATATTATTCAGAAAGGATGAGCTATTTCATGTGCCTAATCTTTCACATGACTATACAGGCAGGCAGATGACAAGCCCGAGTACTAATTTGCTTAGTTGTTTGGGATGTGGAATGACTGCACATTCAGATTGAAACAGCAAGATCTCATATACTTGTATTGTGCTCACATCTTTTACCTACCACTTGCTCTGATTATAGCAATTTGCCATAAAAGGAAAAAGCAGGAACCTGATTATAACAGCAACAAACTAGTCCTTCAGGCTTAAGCCTAAGGGCCCATATATGACAAAATAAAGCTTCCTTGGTTGTGTTTGATTTCAGGTAAGAGTCACAGTTTAACAACCAACCATGTAGTAATAATTCTACCTCACCTCCAGATTCAGGAATAGCCAAGTGGGAAACATTCCTGTTCAAAGGAATACAATGAGGAAACTGAGTCAGGAGGATCCCACCTTAGGTTGATGCCAAGGTTGTCCTCTTAGGCTTTTTCCCAGAGGCAGACCTCTCCCTGTAACAGTTCAGGATCACTTTCTCTCTGAGTAGTTTGTGGCATTTCTCTCGAATGGCAGATTACTGACTTAATGATTCATCAGACAACTATACCTAAATTCAAAGCCCAAAATAAAATGAGTTACAGTCCCAAGAGCTTTTACCTCAAATGGCAAATTTCACTAATTAGGGCTAGATACAATTATTTTTACTCTCATGGAGGTACAATAAGAAATGAACATTTAGGAAGACTCGTGTAATAACAACAGGGGAGCATATATATCTGAGGAGTGTCTGCCAGCTTTTGTATGATATCATACCAGTTACTTTAGCTTCTTACTTCTCTGAGTCCATTTCAGTGAAATCCTTGCTTAAGAGTATATTATCTGAGAAATTTCTCCTGGCTTATGGGAGAAGTCGTAACAGTCACTTCACGTGTCTGGGCCTCAGCTTCCCTTTCAATAACAACAGGGGATTAGATTCCATGACCTGAGATGCACCTCACTGAGACCATCTGGGTGATTTTACACCAAGCAGTTCAGGCTTCTTAGGCCTCAGTTTCCTTTACAGGAAAAGCAGGGGCTAGGAATCCATTATCTGACACCCATTATCTGAGGGGTGTCTGCCAGCTTGTGTATGATATCACACCAGTTACACTAGATTCTTAGTTCTCAGAGTCCATTTCAGGGGAATCAGTGCATAAGAGTAAATTCTCTGAGAAATTTCTACCAGCTTATAGGAGAGCTCATAACAGTCACTTCAAGTGTCTTGGCCTCAGATTCCCTTTCAGTGGTAGTCGTGGGTTCAAATATACTACCTATGTGGGTCTTGGCTGCTCATGTGTGAAAAAACATCAATCATTTCAGATTTCTAGACCTCAGTTTCCCTTGTAGTAACAGCAGGGGGTTGAACTCCATGATCTAACATTCCACTAACTGCCACCCTCTGGGTGACCTCTCACCTTTCACTTCAGATTTCTAGGCCTCATCTTCCCTTTCAGCGAAAGCAGTGACAAGGATTCCATTATCTGAGAGGGATTGGCCAGCTGATGGTGGAATTGTTAACAGTCACTTCACATGTCTGAGCCTTAGCTTCCCCTTCAATAACAACAGGGGATTAGACTCCATGATCAGAGATGCACCTCACTGACACCATCTGAGTGATTTCACACCAGTCACTTTGGCTTCTTAGGCCTCAGTTTCCCTTACAGGGAAAGCAGGGGCAAGGACTCCATCATCTGAGGGGTGCCTTCCAGCTTGTGTATGGTATCATACCAGTTACTTTAGCTTCTTAGTTCTCAGAGTCCATTTCAGTGAAATCAGTGCCTAGGACTAATTCATCTGGGAAATGTCTGCCAGCTTATGGGGGAATTGAAAACAGTCACTTCAGATGTCTGGGCCTCAGCTTCCCTTTAAATAACAACAGGGGATTAGACTCCAAGATCTGAGATACCCCTCACTGACACCATATGGCTGATTTCACACTAGTCACTTTGGCTTATTAGGCCTCAGTTTCCCTTACAGGGAAAGCAGGGGCTAGGACTGCATTATCTGAGGGCTGTCTGCCACCTTTTGTATCATATCATACCAGTTACTTAAGTTTCTTATTTCTTAGTGTCCCTTTCAGTGAAATCCGTGCATTAAGAGTAAATTATCTGAGAAATTTCCACTGGCTTATGGGAGACGTCATGACAGTCACTTCAGGTGTCTGGGCCTCAGCTTCCCTTTCAGTGATAGCTCTGGGTACAAATATACTACATATGTGGGCCCTGGCTGCTCATGTGTGAACAAACACCAATCATTTCAGGTTTCTAGACCTCAGTTTCCCTTTCACTAACTAACAGCAGGGAGTTGGACTCCGTGATCTGAGATGCCCCTCACTGCCACCCTCTGGGGAATCTCTCACCATTCACTTCACATTTCTAGGCCTTATCTTCTCTTTCAGTGAAAGCAGTGGCAAGGATTCCATTATGTGAGAGGGATCTGCCAGCTCATGGATAAGTTTCTAAGAATCACTTCAGGTTTCTGGACCTCAGTTTCCCCTTAAGTGGCAGCCCTGGTTTAAAATTTACGACCTATATGGGCCTTAGCTGATTATGTGTGATCTCACACAAGTCATTTCAGATTTCTAGATCTCAGTTTCCCTTTCACTAACAGCAGGGGCTTGGACCGTGTGATTTCAGATGGTCCTTACTGTCACCCTCTGGGTGACCTCTCACCAGGCATTTCAAATTTCTAGACCTTATCTTCCCTTTTTGTGAAATCCTGGGAAAGGATTCCATTATCTGAGAGGGTTTTGCCAGCTTGTGTATGATCTCATAAAAGGCACTTAAGCTTCTGAGGCGTCAGTGCCCCTTTCACTGACATTAGTGTGTACGACAAAATCACGTGAGAAATTTCTCTCAGCTTATGGGTGAATTCATAACAGACAGTTCAGGTTTCTGGGCCTCAGTTTCTCTTTAAGTGAAAGACCAAGGTTAAAGTATATGCCCAGTGTGGGCACTTGAAGCATTTCTGTTATCTCAGACAAGTCACCTCTGGTTTCAAGGCCTCAATTTCCATTTCTGTAACTGCATGTGGTTGCACTCCATGATCTGTTATGCCCCTGAGTGCCACCCTCTGGGGGATCTGTCACCATTTACTTCACGTTTCTAGGCCTCATCTTCCCTTACAGTAATAGCAGAGAGTATAACCACATTATCTGAGAGGGGTCTGCCAGCCAAAGGCTGATCTCACACCACTCACTTCAGATTTCTAGGTCTCAGTTACCCTTTCAATAACAACACGTGATTAGACTCCATGATCTGAGATGCTCCTCCCTGAAAGCATCTGGGTGATATCACACCAGTTAATTCAGGCTTCTCAGGTCTCAGTTTCCCTTACAGGGAAAGTATAGGGTAGGACTCCTATATCTGAGGGGTGTCTGGCAACCTGTATATGATATCACACCAGTTACTTAAACTTCTTAGCTCTCAGTCTCCCTTTCACTGAAATCAGTGCCTAGGACTCAATTATCTGAGAAATTTCTGCCAGCTTATGGGTGACAGTAAGGGGCATCTCAAATCATACAGTCCAAGGCCCTACTGTTAGTGACAGGGAAACTGAGGTCTAGAAATCCGAAATGACTGATGTGAGATCATATGCAATCAGACAGGGCCAATTACATCGTAAATTTTAAACCAGGGCTGCCACTGCAAAGGAAACCGAGTTCCAGAAACATAAAGTGACTGGTAAAAATTTATCAATGAGCTGGTAGACGCCTCTCAGATAAGGGAAGCCTTGCCACTGCTTTCACTGAAAGGGAAGAAGAGACCGAGAAATCTTAAGTGAATGCTGAGAGATCACCCAGAGAGTTGCAATGGGGGGCATTTCAGATCTTGGAGTACACCCCTGTGATGATACTGAAATGAAAACTGAGGCCTAGAAGGCAGAGCTGACTGGTCGAAAATAACACCAGGGCTTCCAGTGCCCACACAGGACATATACTTTGACCTAGATCTTTTCCTTAAAGAGAAATTGAGGCCCAGAAGCCTGAAGTAAGCGTTATGAATTCACCCATAAGCTGGCAGAAATTTCTCAGATAATTGAGGCCTAGCAACTGATTTCACTGAAAGGGACACTGAGAACTAAGAAGCTTAAGTATCTTGTGTGATATCATACACAACCTGC